AGATAGAGCGCTCTTTCATTTAAACTGTGAAAAACATGAGGTCAGTTTGATTTCATATTTTTCTAAAATTATATATATATACGTAAATTAAAACGTCATTCTGAAGCGGGTGACGAGACTTCACTTCCAGCGACCGACAGCTTCTTACGGACAATAGACAACTTTTGAACAAATCACCTACAAACCTTTTAACTTTACCCCCTTTTAGCGCCGACAGACGACGAGTCGCAAACGGGAACAGAGGAGCGAACTCCCCTTCTTCGAGAGAAAAAACTGTAGTACACACACACACACACACACATATATATATATATATATATATCTGTGTGTGTGTGTATATGCGCGCGCGCTCATATATATATATTTATTACATTATTGTCGTTGGTTTACTCCTTCATTTGGTTTTATTATATGTATTTGGGTGTTTTATGGTCCATTTTATGGTGGCCTGGGGATTACATCGCCTGTTGTCATTGGTTTTGGAGGTTTTCGTCCTTCGTAAATGGTATTGGATTTCTCGGGTTTGGATGTCTGCTTTGGTCCGTCTCTTCTGTGGCTTCTGTTTGGTTCTCACTTATTTGATTTTTGGTTTTTTGCATTGGTTGCTTGCTCCATCTGTGGCTTCCTTGCTGGGTTGCGGTATACCGAAGTTCGGTCTGGCTTTGCGGCATGGTGACATTTTACTTGGAATTTATGAGTATCGACTGCTCTCTCTTGCTCTGAACTTGGGGAATTCGACTCCTAGAAATTTGTTGATGTTTGGATTTTGACTCAGACATGTCTTGGGTATAACTCAACTATATTGGACCGCTGCTTTGCTCCTGCTCCTGTCAATATGACTGACATGGTTATTTTATTAGATACTCATACTTGGTATATACTTTTTGGTGTTTCTTTTTTGCTTCGGTATACTTGTATGGAATTTTGGTTTCTTTCTCTTGTGAGCGTCGAGTTGTAATGTTGGAGATGGAACCCCTATGATGTGAGTATTGTATTTTTTTGGATTTTTTAGATGCGGGGATCCATCTCCACACCACTTTTGTATTTCCCCTTTTGATTAATATATAGGGAGTTGAATAATGCTCCTTTCTCATATATATATATAAAAATCACCATGAAGTATTTCCTATTCTACAACTAGATGATTTGTTGGATTAATTGCATAGAAATAATATCTTCTCCAAGCTTGATTTATGCAATCATTACCAACTGAACTGAATAATACCAAGAGCTGGTGTAAGAAAGCCTTCAGGGCTCAAGATGGATTGCGCTAGTGGCCATCATGCTCTTTGGTTTGTCCAACATTCTAAGCACTTTTTTGTAGCTAGTGAACTAGGTTATTCAAGCATTCAATAAAAAAAATCATTTTTATATAGTTTGATGATACCTTGGTAAATAGTCGTACTATGGAGTACCACTTAAATACTTACAAGGTTTTTGATGTACTTTGGATGGCCCAATTATATGATCACCCAAAAAAGTGTCACCTTTTTACTACATAAACTCACTTTCATGGGTAACTTGTATCAATAGTTGGCATTGAGATGGATCCAGCTAATATCAAGGTCATCATTAACTAGCTAAATCCACAATCATTAACTCAAGTGAGCTAATTTCATGGATTGACTCCTTTTTATAAGAGATTTATTACAAATTTCAAGTCGATAGCATCGCCCTTGAAGAAGTGCCTCGAGTTTAGCCGATTCATTTGGTCAAATAATGTGCATTTTATTGGAGTCTAAAGGCTTTCGTTTGAGTAGAACTAAAACTGAATACATGGAATGTAATTTTATTAGCAGTAGCTCTAATGACAATTGTAACTATGGGTGATCAAATTATTAAAAGATGTGAACGCTTTAAGATATCTCGGGTCTATTGTTCAAAGTGATGGTGATATAGATGGAGATGTCATTAGTAGAATTCAAGTTGGCTGGTTGAAAGGGAGGAATGCTTCGGGCCTATTGTGTGATAGAAAAGTACCGCTTAGACTAAAAGGAAAATTTTATAAGATGTTGGTGAGACCTGCAATGCTCTATGGCGTTAAATGTTGGCCTTTAAAAGAGAAGCATAAAACTAAGTTAACTGTTGTCGAGATGAGAATGATTAGGTGGATGAGGGGCTTTTCACTTAGAGACAAAATGTGAAATGAATATATCTGTGATAGGGCTGGTGTAGCTCTAGTGAAGGACAAAATTAGAGAGTCGTCTTAGATGGTTTGGCTGCATTAAACGTCGACTATCTCATGATCCAATTAAAAAAGTAAATGCTTTAGATTCGACTTATGTTAAGAAAGGCAAAGGTAGTCCTAGAAAGACTTGAGCATATTGTATAAAAAATGTTCTTAATTTATTAGAATTAAATGAAAATATGACACTCAATTGGACACAACAGAGGAAAAGGATTCTGTAGCCGACCCCACTTAGTGGGATAAAGGTTTGTTGTTGTTGTTGTTATTATTGTTGTAATGTGCATGTTAGCTTTGAATAAATATGGAAACAAGGCCCTTGTCCTAGCTCTTCCAGTTTTCATTCAGATGTTTAAGATGGAGTATGATACCACCAATGTGAGAATTGGAACAATGTCGAGTCAAGGAGAATATCTTATTGCCTTCTTTAATGAGCAATGAGTTCAAATGGAAGGAATCTACCTACAATAGAGAATTTTACGCCATTGTGTGATTCCTTAATCACTGGAGTCACTACTTATTGATAGCCAGTTCACTCTTTACACAAAACAGGAAGTACCTCTTACGTTGAGTTTCCTTTTCCATTCCATTATGTACTTAAATACAAAGTCTAGAGTCTTAACAATATAGCTGATGCACTGAATTGCCAACTCTATTACTAACTATCATGTAGTTAAAGATAGTAGGGTTTGAAGTGTTAAACAATGTTTATGCTAATGACGAGAATTTTCAGAGATTTGGTTTTGCTGTCAGGATAGATAATAGATATTAGATGACTAATTGTTCTATCATAACAAACAATATTCATAGGAAAACTATAAAAGCGTAACAATAGAGGGATGGCAATACATTTTGGCAAAGTTAAGAATCTCTCTTTAGTTTAAAAAAAAAAATCTATACGCCCAGATTGGTAGGAGATGCAGAAGATATTCAAACATTAGAGCATGTGTCATTTGGTTAAGATACGAGGGCAAAATAAGGCTCTATATATGCCACTAACTATTTTCAGGGTTGACTTGGTTGGATTTGAACATGGAATTGATGCTGGGTTTGTGCTAGACACAACAAAATAAAACTCTATTATGGTATAGGTAGACCGCTTCTCCAAGATGACTCATTTTGTACCTTGTCATAAGACCATGAATACTTGACATATTACAAACTTGTACTTCAAATAGGTAGTTCACCTACAAGCTGTGTCCAGGATCAACAATTCAGATAGGGATGTGAAACTTGTAAGTCATTCATGGAGGACTCAATGGAATAATATTCACACAAAGCTTCCGTTCGATACCAGCATACTCGCAGACAAAAGAACCGACCAAGGCAGTGAATCATAATATGGACAATATAAATAAGTGTTTCGTGGCCAAGAATATCAGGTAGTGTAGCTTGATCCTTTCCCAAGTCGATTTTGCTTATAATCATTCCACCAGTCAGCCCTTTTGAGATTATATATGGAAAAAACAACTCACATCCTAGGAGCTAGTATTGATATTCCATACTACTTAGCACTAATTTCAAGGCCAGAGTCAGAGAGATTTAGGCCCTTCATGAGTAGGTGGGAAAGGAAATGTCAAGTATAATACCAATTAACAAAAGCAGGCTAACAAGTCCAGAACATCCAATTTTTTTAAGGAATAAGATTTAGTAAGGACAATTTTGAAGAAAGAGGAGTTTCCCACATGTTCTTTTGGGAAGTTCAAGCCAAGAGCTAATGGCCCATTCAAGATTGCCAAGAAGATTATTAACAGTGCATACAAGATTAACCTACCAGAAATTACAACACCTCTGCTAATTTCAACGATGTTGATTTGTCGTTATAGTATTAGGATTCAGATGCTTCTAGTGAAGTAGCAAGCCCTCTCCGGTCCAGGGAAAGCAATATGAGCTGTCCCATTGTCTGCCCTCCCAGGCAATCCCGAGACAAGAATCAGTCCAGAGATGGACTAGTTCAAACATTCTCAGCCACCATGGGCTCGCTAGCCCTCTCAGTGGTCCATTTTACCTTATTTAGGCTATTACTTCAGTTTATTTTCCTTAGGGACATTTATATAGGTTGTAAACTTTTGTTTTGGACACTTTAGTTTTTATTTATGCATTAGAGATTTTTCTATTTTCTCAAATGTTTCCTTGTCGGAATGCTATATCTTCTGATAGCTCTTAAATGGTGTGCCAATAACCTAATTAGATCTAGGTGTTGAATTCTCCCTGGCATTCGAAGCCCTCATACACTGCCAACCCCAGCTGCTGACCTGCGGTTTCTGCTTCTAGACTGCTGTCTAGACTGGTGTCTAGCAACTGGCTGCGCCGGATTTTCAGCCACCACCACCGTTTCCCCCTTCATCCCTAATCTTACAACTCTCCTAATCCATCTCTTCATATTCCCACAGTTTCTAAGAACCTAGATTGGTCTCATAGGGGGATAACCCTAATGTGATAGGTATATGAACCTTTTAATCCAGAAGAAACATCACTAAAACGTATGCAAAAAAAAAAAAAAAAGGTAAAAAAATTATAGCAAACCTTATAAGCAGCACCCAATATGAGGAAAATCCAGAGAAACTGACCCCGAAAAAAGTTATGATAAGGCTATCAACAATGATGATTTTCCTACACCTTATATTATGGGCAAGGTCAACTGCTTGGCCTGAGGGTTTGTTTTCTACCAGCCAATTGGACGAATAAATGTATTTTTCTTTGCTTAGTCAATGACAACCTTGGAAACCATTTCCACTAAGACTAAATATAAGCAAACGATACCAAAGAAAAGCAATGCTCAACATATCAGACAATGCTTTCTAGTTAGCAGCTATCACTTTCTTACGGTAGAAAAGTTCATATTATTTTCAACGCTCTCTTAAATAAGAAGAATACTAACTTGAAATCATATCCCCCTCCTGGCTGTAAAACCTCTGGTGCCATCCTAGCAAAAAATGAAAAATAAAATATTTTTGATAAAGTTTGGTGTAATTGCAAATAATTAGTGAGCTGTTATCAACTGTCAAAACACAAAAATTATACAAAATTTTACCAGCAAGGCGTGCCTACAAAAGTATTCCTTGAGCGTTGCCTATCACCTTTGTCAAACAAATGAGCTGAAACGCCAAAGTCAGCAAGCTTTACAACACCAGAACTATCAAGAAGAATATTTCCAGCCTGCAATTTGAAGATTTGCTCAAAAGAAAAGAAAAAAAGGGAATTTTACATATGTAGCACATAACTCTTATGTATTTACATATTTCACACCTAAACTTTCATATCATACATAGCACTTTGGTGCTTTAACCTTATGCATCAAAAGGTGCATTTCACTTTTAAAAAAATTGTATGTGCTATTTTTGATGTGATATTAAAGATTTGAGTGATATGTGTTTAAATAAGAAAGTTTAGGTGTGCCCCACAACAACAACAAAAAAAAAAAATCATGCATCACAAAATTTCTATGATGTTTCTGTAAGAAACTAACCTTGACATCTCGATGAATATGTCCATGCTTATGAAGGTATTCCAAAGCTTTGAGAGTTTCCTTAAGAATGGACCCAATAACATTCTCTTCAAAACCATCTGGATAAGCAATTTTCATGAGATGCAAACATGAACCCTCTGCCAGGAAAGGCATAACAACCCACAGGAAGCGTTCAACAACAAATGAGCAATATGCTTTGACCACATTTGGGTGATCTATCAAACTCATTGTTTGGGCTTCTCTTCGTATGTCATCCTAATAGAATCATTTTTATCATTATTAGCAGTATATATGGCAGCAAAGAAAACATGTACCTAAAAAAAGTTCACAGCTTGGATTTGGATAAAGCCCCGAGAAAATTGCAGAAGTATCCGCTATAGAATATGAATAAAGTAGAATATAGCTATCAGCGAGTAAGGTGCCAATTAGTGATAAAAAAAAAAGATATTTAGATGCAACAGACCATGCAATGCTTTACAGATAAATACTTGGTATACCATTTTATTTTTCTTTTAAGCTTTAATGTGTCAGGGAAATCCCATATCAACCGGTTTGGATGCAATTTAATACATTTTAGTTTCTTATTGTGACTTGGCAGCGAGGTTAATCCTAATCGATATAGAGTCAACCCAATCCAGACCACAGTTGGATGGATTTCTAATGAATCTCCTAATTCAAGGCCACATCACTAAATGTGATATACACCATGAAAATTATATATAGATCAATTTTTGCCACTTTTCATAATAATTTAACCATTTAACCAACAAGTGCATAAAAATAAGGATGATTGGTGAATATACAAAATCCTTCTTAAACGTTTAATTTTACCAATGCATTCATAAAACAAAACCAATAAACTACGAATACCATCAGCAAAATATCAATGCCACTTAAAAGTTTCTACTCTTTGAATCACATGCAACTCTCATGCAAAAAATAGACAACCAATGTGATTTTGTTCATGCATCGAAATTGTAATCAAATGATCATAAACTTTATCAATATGCATGATACTAGCTTTAATTCTTATAAATAAAACAGATGAATTTGATCTTACAATTGCTCGTGGGCTGGGCATAGTATCGAAATGTCAAAGTTTAATTTGGTGAAGAATCTCCTAAAAAGAGTCAACAGTTAAATTTACAATTTGAACAACTAAATTTATTAAAAAATAACACATATTTCAATACTCAGCATGAATGTATGAAAATAGCAGTTGTTGATGTCATAACACTTGTTCCAGCATTCTGCAATAACAAATAATCTCATCATTCAAATTGTTCATCCGGTGATTGAATGCTATAGAGAGAGTAGGCATTTCTCATCCCTTTCTCTTCATCTATCTCTCACACATGATTCTTCTCCTCCTATGAGGTGAATGAGTACTCTCCTAACAATTTTAAGGTTGTCTTTGATTACTTATTCTTCAAAATGACGATCACACTAGTGATCATGATCTACAACACACAAATATATGCGTATTAAATTTTTACAAATTTTAATTTGATTTAACCATTCATCTACCATATGAAAATATATAAGGAAAATAGTGCAGTATATACAACCCTTTAATGTGAAGTTTTACCTATGCATTCCATCCATTACAACTTTTTAGGGAAATTTATACTATTATACAATTCTTATGTATTTACATATATCATGCCTAAACATAGCACTTTGGTGCTTTAGACCTATGTATGAAAAGGTGTATTTCACTTTTAAAAAGTGATAATGGTGCTATTTTTTATATGATATGAAAGTTTAGATGTGAGAGATGTAAATACATAAGAATTGTGTGTTCAATATGTAAAAGCCCTAACTTTGCATTGCATACAAGATATTTTCAATAACTTATAAGTTTAAATACAAGCTATTTGAATATGTCTACGCTTTGAAATCACAATTATCCTCATATGCAGTTGGAGTTATCCATTGAGAACTTTTGCATGCATGATTAGTGATCAAATAATTCTCAAATTTATTGAAATTATGCATGCACTAATTTTCATGATAATAAAGATGATGAAAGGTTTTTATCAAAAAATTTGAAAATCGTAACATTAAAATGAAAGTGGGATTGATACTCATCCTTGGAGAAGAAAAATCGATCTACATAGCATGCACGCATACACACTCTTCAAAAGAACCAACGAACAGTTTAATTGAATAAATCAGCTTATATCAAATAAATACTCAAGCTCATAGCTTAATCTCATCAACCAAAAATGGGGAAAGAGACATGTATACAGAAAAAATGCCGGCATGAATCTCGATGAGATCTGACGGGAAAGAAGAAACGAGGCCTATCAAAGAAGGGCCCATCAATAGGAGATTTGGAGGCCCACTTATCCTATCGGAGGTATCACGACCAAGGCAACAGAGCAGCTCAAACCCGAGTAGTTCAATCGGAAGCAAAGCACAGGGGAATCTAAATCATTCCCCACGATGAAACCTACTCAAGGGGGAAGCTAACCCCTCGGGGTCCTACAATTTTATCATAGGCATCCGTGGTCTTCCCGAACATCATAAAAAATTAGTTAGACGAATCTCAGTCATTCCTCAGAACCTCTTCGTTTAAGGGCGCCTAACCATCAAATTACGGTGATTTAAACTCTGCCCGATAGCCCAATTCTATCATGCCGATGAGAGCTACTTATCAGAAATCGACGGTCGGCAATCAGACTTGACCAATCAATCAGCACAACATAGTCAACCAAGTCAATCTTGTCAACGATTTGCCAATAAAATTCAAGCCAACCGATAGCATAAAGCCTAGCAGACCAACAGTCTTTAATGGACCAGGCAGACTGGCGGGCCTCTCTAGCTTAGCTAATCAGCAATGCCTATCAAGGACTCATCAATCCAGCCAACCAAGCCTTAGAGTAGTCAGGCTCTAGGCCCACATATATAAAATATCTATAATACCCAGTACAGTCCCCATTAAAGCAAGGGCATAAATGTAACTTGACATATTGTACTCCATTTTTCTGTAAATAGGGGATTATTCAAAGAGCAAAGGGTTGCACACCTCTCTCAAATTATTGTGTATTTCTCTCTTCTTCACTCTCTCTTTCTCATCTTACACTCTATTACTTGGGTGTGATTGCCGAACAAATCAAGATTCAACAAAACACAGGTACCATGTGTAGGGGAGGCAGTGACATGAAATCAAATCACTCATAAATAATCAACTCACTATGTTCAGCAAAGCAAATATATTTGAGTCTATCCATACGTTAAACCCTAAAACAATTCAGCAACTAAAACTAACAAAGGAAATCCATCCTAAGAGGAAAAACTAAAAAATCTCGCTCCACTTCAAACCCATTACTAAAGCATCAATCACATTCAACGCGCCTTAAACAAAATTATCAAAACCCAAAATTACAAACCATCGAAAGAAATCAACAAGCAGCAAACTTCGAACAAAACAAAATTCTAAAATTCTAAAAACAAAAAGAAACATGAAAAGAAAACAGAGCTCGGATTCGGATAGAGAAATTAACCCACGAGATTACTGTTGCACCGATCCAGATCCAGGGACTTGACCGCAACGATCTCGTTGTAAGGAACATACATCGCGCGGTAGACCGTCGCGCTTGCCCCTTGCCCCACTTCCTCCAGCAAACGGTAGTCCGCTGATGACACCGAGTAACTCTTCTTCGCTGAGTTCCATCCTCCCTTCCTCATCTTCTCCTGCGATCTCCGATTAACCCCAGTTCGCTCTACTTCCCAACTTCGGGATCTCCGCTGCTATCCTCCTGAAATGCCGCCGAAGGAGACAGAAATAAGAAACTACCGGGGTAGGAAATAGATTTTTCCAGGGGAGAGCAGAGCTTATGTACCAGCAATGTCGGAGACCGATTCGTGTGGTGACGTGGCGACACGGCGACATGACGACAGGGCCGTAGGTGCCGTACAGCATTATACGGCCGTATGGGCCCCACCTCAGGAGAGCAGAGTTCCGAGTACGGCGTTTTCCTTTGCATGTCCTTTTTGGACTATTGCTGGGCTGCCAAATAAGGCAGTCAGGAATTTCGGGATAAATGGATAATTACATGAACACCACTCCAATCCTTGCTATTTAATAGTCCGAAGTGGCTTTTTAGACCACAAATGGATGCATTTTTCCAAGCCATCAAATTTTTGAGACTTTGTTAAAGATGAAAATTATGAATTGAGGTTTTATGATGAATTTTGATATTTGAATAAAATTTTAAAAATAGATGAAATATATATAACTTATTATGCTAAAAACTTATTATCGTAATATCTATTATCGCATGCACTATCACTTATGATAAGGAACATGATGCTACCCGCATACTTCAATCTTTGTGCCAAATGACATAATGAGTGATTAAAGTAAGTGCAACATATTGTAACCTAAAATTGAATCAAATTTGATCAATTTAAAAATAACTAGTGATTCTCAAGGCCAATCATGATTAGGCACGAGAAATGTACAGGTAAGTCAGAGAGTGGGCCTATTCCAAAAAAGATGTTAAGTGGCCTTAGAAAAGTTCTAGCAAGAGCTTTATTAAATATTGCATTTAAGATCTTTTTTTGCTCAAATATTATGTTGAATATTCAATAGAGGGTGTATACACCAAAATTGTCAGCATGAATCTAAAAGTAATTGAATAGCCCAGAATGCAGTCAGACAATCAAGACATTCTACCGATCAACAAGTGATCACGTGATTATAATAGATTGACACACTATTATGAGAGATTAAATCGGCGGACCACATCATCAATCCCAATTGACCAAGGCACATGCAAGAGCCTTTTATCGCAAGCTAGTTGGTCAAACCGTTTTATTATGACAACGAGATCACCATTCAACCGGGTGCCTCAGCTGATTGACATTTACTTCGGAAGGCGCGGTCAACACTCAGTTGCTCGTATCAGCCGACCGAATTCAAGCAGGACAACCAGCCCATTACTGTCACATTAGAATTTAAATTGAAATACAAATATGACATAAAATCTATATTATTAGTTAGAGTATCAATTGTAATAAGAGCAATTTCATAATTGTTCATTTATTTCTGTAATTGTTCAAATCTGCCCCTTATAAATAGAAGGCAAAATGACAAAAAAAGGGACCTCTCCTCGTTTTCTCTATAATGAATTATTGACTTATTCTCTACTTCCTCTTTCCTCCTTTATCTGGTTCTAAATCTCGAGAAATGTTCACAAAGCACAATTTAAGATTTAACATCCTAAAAGTGAGCATGAACATACCCCATATGAGAAGTGGAGTCAAATACGAAGGAAAATCCCTGCAGAAAGATTCAGCGACAATGGAGTTCAATAGAGATACATTACGTTGAGACATATAAGAAGAGGTTCAGACATTAAGAAAACAAATAATGGACCAGTTTGAGGCTCTTTTTGCGGTCATGATCCTGAACGTCCAACCTCCGGCTATGGAGGGAGAGTCTCAGGGTGCCCGCCCCAAGAATGCTCCACCTGACATTCCGCCAACACCCCACGATTGACCCGGTGACTGTCCAACTGAAGGACCAGAAGATCCCCACCCAACAGACAGTGCCACATCTACGCCAACGATCCCACATCGGGAGGACCGAGTAGAAACATTAGCTCGGTCAGTCATGGGTAATTCCTTCTCCCAAAAAAATCCTAGAAACAATACCCCCAGCAAAGCACAAGATTCCTCACTTTGATATTTGTAAAGGGAAAAGCGATTTGGCTGACCATCTCACCTCTTTTAAGTTGACAGTTGGAGTCACGCAGGTCGATAACACCATTAAGTGTTGGTTATTCTAATGGTTTAATAGCCTACCAGACGGAATCATCTGATCGTTCTTTGAATTATGGAAGCTTTTCTCTGACATACTTTGCTAGTGTATAAAACCCAAGGAAGGATACGAAGATTCTACTTTAGGTCAAGCAATGAGAGAATGAAAATTTGTGGGCTCACATCACTTATTTCCAAAAGAAAATGATGGGGGTGAACAACTTTGAGCCCCTCATCGCCCGGACTGCATTAAAACAGAGGATCTACAACAAGTGATTCATATATGACTTGAACTTACTCAATCTGAAAATCTTTGCAGAGGTCATGGAATTAGCAAACGATCCCATCGTCGCTAAAAAAGACCTTATGGAATCCTCAGAAGTTAAACCAAAGGTATCCGACCATCGACCACATAAGCGAAAGGATCAGGATGAAGACAGAAGGCAAAGAAGTGACCTAGTCCCTGACCGCTGATCGAATGACAACCAGAGATTTTGGGATAACTGGAAGAGCAGCCAAGGCAACAGAGGGCAGTAGCAATGCCCCTCCGACCATCAGTCATCCATGTAGTTCGAGCAACTGCACGTATATTAGGAGATGCAAGAATCAATACTGTTAAACATGTCGATGGTCGAACTAGTGCAGGTCATTCAAAATAAGGATTACTTCATGAAAGCCCCTCTGTTGAAAACTGCACCAGCATTACAAAATTCAAACAAGCGTTGTGCATACCATCGAAACCACCAACACGACACAAAGGAATGTCGTCGCTTCAAAAATTTGGTAGAGGAGCTTGTCAAGGCTGGGAAGCTGAAGAGGTTTATTGTTGGTGAAGTAGATACACAACGACAACTAAAAGCACTATCAGAGGAGACTGTGGGCAGGCTAGTGACCGTGAAGAAAATCCACCTGGCTGGAATTATTTCGTCTATCATCGGTGAAGATGGAGGATTACCTCGACCATCTAGTCTGAAGAGACACAGGTCGGGGGAGATATGTTATGTCACCCCTTACACTCGCACTTCCCCCCCCCCCCCCCCCCCCACACACTTTCCCCCCCCCCCCCCCCAATTACTTTCACAAATATAGATCTTCCGCCGAAGGGTAATGTGTACAACAAGGCAATCATTCTTAGAGCCCTCATCAACAATTCTCAAGTGGGTAGCATTCTAGTCAACATCAAGAGCTCGGGAGACATTATGTTCAAAACTGTGTTCGACAAAATGAGGCTCAAATCCTACTGTTGGCAACACCGACCGACTCGTTATTTGGCTTCTATAGCAAAAGAAGGATGCCCTAGGTGTGGTCGCAGTACTTGTCTCATCAGGTGAATTAGAAAAAATATTCACCAACATAGAGTGCTTTCTAGTGGTGGAATCACCACTGACTTACAATGTGATTTTCGACCAACCATTGTTAAACAACTACCAGGCAATAACATCAATGTACGATGTGGCCGTAAAGTTTTCTGGCGATGGAGGAATAATCACCACTACAGCGTATGATCTTTTTAGCTTGTGATATTTGCGTCAGAATTTTGTGACACAAGTATTAGCATCAAAATTTATGACTGTTAAGCTGTGGATAAAAAGTTTTGATCTTTACGTCTGATTTGCGTCCAAATGTTCAAAGAAAAAAGTATTCAAAAAATGGGAATCTTCAACCGGAATAGTGACTGCTTTTGCATCAAATAAAGTGACAAAAAAATTTAATTATTTGAGTCAAACTTTTCTGACGCAAATTAGACGGAAATCTAACACAAATAACCTAAAATACCAATCTCGCCCACCAAATTTCATTTATTTTTTTGCGCTTCTTCTCTTGGTCCCCCCTTCTTCCTGAAATCCTTTGAAGCTCCCTCTCTCTCACAGTTTCACTTAAAACCATCACCTTTCCAAACAAATATTCACAATGCGGTCTTTATTAGAGCTAGTTGGGGAGGGAACGACTGGATCGTGCTTATAGAGACCACCGAAACTCCCCTCATTGTTTAGCTTTGCTCCTATCAGAAAACATTGAAGAAGGTAAGCCTATTCGCATCATTATTTCCATTCATATGTGCTATGCATACAAAAATTGATGTTTAGAAGTTGGGTGTATGAAATGCATAGGTAATGTGGCATATGCAAAAATTGAAGTTTTGGTGTTAGGTGAGTATACACATAAGAGTTCATTGGTATGTATGTAAAAATTGAAGTTTAGGTTTTAGGTTTGTATATACATATATTTGGCATCCTTGGTGCAAGACCCCTCAGGTTAGGGGTTTGAATCCCTCTGAACTCCTATAATTAGGCACATTAAGAGTGGTTGGAGGCTCGTATAATGGCCTAAAGGATTTGAAAAAACAAAGCTACACATAGCTTGGTGCTTACGATACCCTACATAGCTTCATGGTGCTAGACCTAGTATCGTGTGCTCCATTTAGCTTTTAAATATATTTAAGATTGAGGGGGGGAATTTAACATAATGTGAGAATTACTTCTATTAATGCTTGGAGAGCCTAGAGTGAAAAAATTATGGAGAGAGCTCTTCCGCTTTCTCCTCTTCTTTGTTCTCTAATTTTAGCTTAAGTGAGAGCCACTTAACTACCTTATAAAAATAGTGAGAATGAAGTTCCTGTCCATCTCTTTCTCTTAAAAGTTTAAGTAGATTTCTACTTAAAGCTTGGAGAAAAGCTAAAAGAGGAGTTACCAGCTCATAAATTTTCTTGTTCATGCATAGAGGACTTTGTGAGATGGAGGTTGCTTCAACCCTATGATGGCGAGGTCTTCTTTAGCCTTTATTCATTTAAATCCTCTAAGTTGATGTTAGATTTCTATGGTAGGCTAGTGTTATAGAAAGATCATAGGGTTGGTAGGAAGCTCACCATATTTTTCCCATCATTTCCTTTGAGTGATTCCAAGCCCGTCTTCTCCCTTATCTCTATTCTCTTTAAACTCATTGTGCACTTTATTTATTTTGGTTATGAGACATCTCTTCAGAGAAATCTCCATAATCCTAAAATTACCAAAGTGAGCTTATATTTAGTTTGTAACCATTACATTGGAATGGAAATAATTGTTAACTATTC